GATGACAGAGTGGTGTAGCTGAGCAGCCCAGATGACAGAGTGGTGTAGCTGAGCAGCCCAGATGACAGAGGGTGGTGTATCTGAGCAGCCCAGATGAAAGAGAGTGGTGTAGCTGAGCAGCCCAGATGACAGAGGGTGGTGTAGCTGAGCAGCCCAGATGACAGAGGGTGGTGTAGCTGAGCAGCCCAGATGACAGAGTGGTGTAGATTAGCAGCCCAGATGACAGAGTGGTGTAGATTAGCAGCCCAGATGACAGAGGGTGGTGCGGAGATTCTCACAGATTGTAAAATACGCGAGACAATTTTTGAGAAGGATTTAATCCTGAATGACTTAAATATGTTTATTTAACGTAGGTTGAGTTTATATGTCTTGAGATTATGTAGAACGAGTCATAGAGATCAGGGCCATCTTTATAGTAGCGGAGGCCCTGGTCACAGTAATGCGCCCAGGCCCCTAAACCCTTTCTATACTGAGGGTTGTGCGAAAAAAAAGGGGGGGGGTGAGAGGGCCCATCACCCCTGGCGCCAATATCAGGGGGCGGCAAATTCGTCTTAGGATCGTCCCTTAATAATGAATTAAACGACACAATCCCAAGTACTTCACATGGACAGAGACGGAACAATCCTCTTACTAGTGCGCCATGGGTCCCGCTTTTCCTGGGAACGGCTGTCTATCGCCTAGTGTTCAAGTCATGTAATGACGAGCATTATGGCCTAGGCTGACCAATGCGTTTTGACCAGTTTCTTTCAAGCTGGGGAGTCGGGTTAGTATTTCAGGCTGTTCGGGGGAGGTTGTGTAGTGCATCTATCAAATGAGAAATTGAGAATGTTAAAGCCCAAGGCCAGCTCTGACCTCGTTTCCAACGCCATAGATAACCGTACATTCATTCTGGTAGTGGAGCCCCCTAAAGGGATCCTGTAAGCCCCAGTTTAGTTTCGTTCTTAGAATCTTCATAGTCCAACTACTTATATTAAATAAAAGAAAATCATAACTTTGTCCGTTCAAAATATTATTGTATTTACTTACAATGTATATAGCGTTTTTCAATAGATTAAAATGTGTTGGTACTGTTAAGAGATCGAGGGCGCCAAACGAAACTGGGGGGGGGGGTAAGGTTTGGAGAGAGGTCTCAGTAAGCGACCCCCCCCCCCCCCATTTTTTTGGTGGGGAATTCAAAATTGTGGTATTTATTATAAAGCATCCGCGAATTTAGTTTCTCACCCTTCTACACTTATTAGGCTAGAAACAGAAAAGAAGTTAGTTGAAATTTAGGTTCCCTTGACCATGCATGGGTTACACAATTTCTTTTTTATTCTTAGTTGTATCTAAATAATGATGTGGTTTCATTAAAAAAAAAAAAAAAGAAAAGATTTTCAAACTGATAATTCTGAAATGAAACTTTTTCAAAGGTTAGTACCAAAAAAATATTGCATAAATAAACCGGAGAAACAGTCTCTTTGCTTCCATTTTGAAAAGAAAATTGATTGCAAAAAATATTTCCATAATCACTAATAATATTGGCCGCATAATGCCCCTAGAAGGGCAGAGCGTCCTAGAAGCGTGATGCCCCCTAGAAGCGTGATGCCCACTCGAGCATGAGGCCACCTCGAGGCGTGAGACCATGGGCAAGGGGCTCAGTGTGCCCATGCTTCAAGACGGCACTGTTTTTCTCCAATCATTTCACTACTGACTACGGAGCAATGGTGTAAGTAGGGTTATTACCGCCCGGGACTAATATCTTATTCTAACATGATGGTAACAACAAATTCTTACTTTATTAATTTTTTATTTTGTTTAGATTCATATCTGGGAGAAGTAAAACTTGTTGACGAGAGTTATTCCTATTTGAGAACTATCCAACTTCTGATTCGCATTTCTAACCTTAATTTCGGAATGTGCCAATAATACCTTGGTTTAAAATTGGGAAACGTGCTGTCCGCTGACTTTTAAATCAAATTAAATTGCCCAATTATTTATATATTCATTAACAGTGTGTGCAGCATGATGCCTCTAAAAGAGTGAGTGTCCTAGAAGCGTGCGGCCCCCTAGAAGCGTGAGACCCCCTAGAAGCGTGCGGCCCCCTAGAAGCGGGGGGTCCCTTAAAAGCGTGAGGCCCCCTAGAAGCATGAGGCCCCCTAGAAACGTGCGGCCCCCTAGAAGCGTGAGGCCTCCTAGAAACGTGCGGCCCCCTAGAAACGTGCGGCCCCTAGAAGCGTGAGGCCCCTTGAAACGTGCGGCCCCCTAGAAGCGTGAAGCCCCTTATAAGCATGAGGCCCCCTAGAAGCGTGAGGCCCCCTAGAAACGTGAGGCCCCCTAGAAGCGTGAAGCCCCTTATAAGCATGAGGCCCCCTAGAAGCGTGAGGCCGCCTAGAAGCGTGAGGCCCCCTAGAAGCGTGAGGCCCCCTAGAAGCGGGGGCCCCTAGAAGCGGGGGACCCCATAGAAACGTGCGGCCCCATAGAAGCGTGAGGCCCCCTTGAAGCGTGAGGCCCCTGGCCAGTGCCCAGTGGGCCCATGCCTCAAGACTTAACTGATATAGAAGGATTTACTTAGGGTGGGTTTAGATGGCTGGCGTGTCCTTACTTTGGAACAGTTTGACAAAATTAACAAATTACTGAACCATTTTTGACAATGGCAAAAGTATATCATTTATTTTAACAATGCATTACGCGAAAGTTTCAAATAATGCTGGCAGGGAGTGTTGATTGAAAGTCTGAAATATCAAAATGGTGGACATTGTTAAACAAAAGTCTGAAGTATAGCCGGTGGAAGTGTTGAAGTGTTGAAGTGAGACGTATCGCTGTGGACCGTGTTGAACGAAAGTGGGACATATCGCTGTGGACAGTTTTATAGCCTGAAATATGGCTGGTGTACAGTGTTGAACGGAATTCTGAAATATCGGTGGTGGACAGTGGTGACAAAAAACATGACTTCAAGCATTCCTGGTCTTAGTCACTAACAAAATAACGGCCTTAAGGGAGGGGGGTGTCAAAAACATACTGAATTCCACAACTATTTTTTGTTACAAATAATTGATAGCGCACTAACTTCTGTCTTGCTCTCAAAAAAGAGTTCCCCTCACAAAGGACTGATCAAACGTCTGCGCGTTCATGTTTGCATCCGCCCCACTGACTGCAACTTCCAAGACAAACAGTTGGCTGGCGTCGACAAATTGAAACTAACTCGACCAACAAACCTTGCCATTTTTAAGGCCAGTGTACACGATAAAGCAGCAGCACATTGTCACCGTGCGGGAAAAAAAATTCTATGGCCACTTCATAAAAATTGTGTTAGGTCATTGACAAGAGCACGTGCCTGGCGTTTTGTCTCGTTGTTGACCCCAGGCAAAGCAATGATGGAATGGCCAGAGTTTTTTTTACAAAACTGACCGGCAAATCATTGCCAGTTTTGCGGGGGGACAACAAAATGGGATCACATTTGTCTTTGGCAGAGGATTTCACGCGATGTCTTCAAAGCCAATCTCACTTCAGACCTTCAGATCAAATTATGGGGCTAGAAGTTTCCTCCGATTTTTTGTCTTGTCCAACTTGAGTAATGTGAAAAGATTTCACATGTCTGCGAATAAATTCTAAGATATGTTTACATAAAGTGAGACCATCGCTAGCGATTTAAAGGCTTAAAGAAAAAAAAAGTAAGCATTTTGTGGATTTCACGAAGTCCAGAAAGTAATCATGTAATGGAGCCGGTCACAAAAACGTACACGATTTCCTAATGCATACAAAACCGAGTTTTTCCGTCGCCAAGGAGCACCATGAGGACTTCACCCATAACATTGGAGACATTCACAGTGTGGGTACGACTGACGACAACCCAAGCTTCTCATCCCTGTTCGATTCTCAAGGTAAACTTTAGATAAAGTAACAGTGTTTTTTTTTTGTTGTTTTTTTTATCATGCATTAATCTCATCACAAGACTTCATTATTTTGCAATGTCCAAGCTCTACTTTCATTTGAAACAATTTGCTTGACATCCTTTAGTCAACTTTACTTGGCTTGAAAATTAACAAGATGCACTTCGAATGGATTAAGCTTTTTTTTCTTTTAATTTTTTTTTGAATTTAAAGACTAAATTTTAAAAATAATAATTTTTGTTTTATTTCGGTAACATTAAAACCAACTTCATTGAATTTCTCATGAGAGTAGATTATTATAAAAAAATGCACATTATCGCTAACACTAGTCTAATCCTATTTAAACGAAAACGATAAAAAAAAGACAGAGCTTTAACTATTTTTTGAGGTAAATTGTTATCGTTATGGTTCCTGTTTAATCCAAATGACTCGGCTTGAATGAAGTGCTCAGTTTATGAAGATTTACGTTAAGTTAGTTGTTGATCCCAGACCGACACCGTTAATCCACCATACTTATCCCACATTTTTATTAAATCCTTTATATTAATGTCGCTTATCTTAGCCTACTTCTGGATGGGTGGCAACATAAATGGATGGCTAATTGACCCACCTCCCGTCAACCTATCGAGCTGAATCTAGGAACATAGACCCGTTGCCGATGACAACTTATTCTTTCAAATTTTCAGCTCCATCCCCAACCGCAAAGAATAAGTTTTTTCCTTTTTTCCTAGGGGAAGATAAGAAAATATGACGACACTGAGTTCAGGAATTAAAATGCCCGACAACTGGACTAAATGAGATTCTTTAAGAAAAATTATCGCAAATGCGTTTGGTGCGTAATATTTTCTTTGTTTTCTTCTGAAATTGTTGGTGCAATAAATCTGTGGCTTAAAAGTGGGTGGATCATTTGAATATTAATATAAAATAATATAGTTAGAAATACATATAGCAGATTTATAGCAAAACTATGTTTTTATGGGGTGTTAAATTCGGATTTTTTTTTTTGTCCTTGATTTATTCCGACTGCTTGAACAAAAAAGGCTTAGGTTGTAGCACAACCATTTGTGGGAATATAGCCAATGTTAGCAGCCGGTCCTTTCCCCACTTAGAATTGAAAATGTCTCATCAATAACTTTCTCACTGGCCTAACGAGTCCATTCAAAACCACTACTTCTTGGTCCATTCCAAACAGCTACTTCTTGGTCCATTCCAAACCACTACTTCTTAGTCCTTTCTAACCCGCTACTTCTTGGTCCATTCCAACCCGCTACTTCTTGGTCCATTTCAACCCGCTACTTCTTGGTCCATTTTAACCCGCTACTTCTTGGTCCATTCCAACCCGCTACTTCTTGGTCCATTTTAACCCGCTACTTCTTGGTCCATTCCAACCCGCTACTTCTTGGTCCATTCCAACTCACTACTTCTTGGTCCATTCCAACCCACTACTTCTTGTCCATTTCAACCCGCTACTTCTTGGTCCATTCCAACCTACTACTTCTTGGTCCATTCCAACCCGTTACTTCTTGGTCCATTCCAACCCACTACCTCTTGGTTGAGAGGATGATAACGCTTTGCGCTATTAAAGACCTAAAGATGATGATACAATGACCCTCTATTTACGAACGTGTAATGAGGTCATTTTATGTTTGGGTGAGTTCATAAGAATGCCAACATCAGTAATTGTTAGATTGTAGTTGATGCCTCTACTTTTCCCCCATCGCAGTGCTTGATTCGCCGTCAGCTACACTACAACTGAAGCACAGACGCTGTACGATGCTCAGTGTTAGAGAGAGGATCTTCTTGTGTCTCATCGGAGTACTCACCCTTGCCGGACTGGTCGAGCTGCATTTTATACTGCTACAGATTAGATCTGACGTGGGGCAGGCTTGTCAGCATGTACCTGGGATAACATGGGTATAACAGTGTTGTCATTATTAGCTAGGATAAGATTGGCGTAACACAGTTGTCAACATCAGCAGGGATAAGATGGGTTTTACAGTATTGTCAATATTATCTGGGGTAACATGTGTAGGATAGTGTTGTCGATATTAGCAGGGATAAGAAGGGATTGGCCATATTGTCACAGCTATGGTATCATGGGAAGGACAGTTTTATCAATATTAGCAGTGCTAACATGATGTGACAATGTTGTCAACATGTCAGTGGTATATCATTAATATGACAGTGTTATCACAGACCCCCTACTTAATACCCTTACTATCTGTCACTATTATATTATAAATAATAGGCGAGATGTTATTTTTCAAACGGTGACTAGTTTAAGTTAAGCGTTCACAATACCCAAAATAAGAAATATATAACCCCACAGAATAAATAAGATACATACTTTAAATCACTTCACTTAAATCTCAATTCTTGTGACACATTCACAGCGTCTCCTTTCAATTCAAAATATTTGATCCAAAATCTTGATCTACAATCACAGTTGTTTTTTTTGGGTTTTTTTTGTTTATAATGGCCGCCAAACATTCAAAAATTGTTGCTCTCCACCTGACCAAATCAAACAATCTGATTGGCTAGTCTTCATAAGTCCCAATACTATATGCACAGGACTATAGAGTATTAATTATATCTTCAATCCGTTGCCTTCCATCCCTCGTTCAGACATTTATTATGATATCCCGGACACTATCCTTATATTCTTGTCAGTATATGGCTTCAAATGATAATTCGTCATTTTATAAGTTTAATTTGCCTTAATAATATTTTCTTTGTGATCTGTAACTATTGAAGGTATCCGGCCACAATATATTGATTAGTGTGGCTTGATAATTAAATCACTTGTCCCACCCCCCCCCCCCCAAAAAAAAACACAAAAAAAACAAAAGATTTCCCTTAAAGGGAAAACAATATGATAATATTTAATCACGCTAGTTTATCAATGATCATAATATTACGTCACTTATATAGGGCAATGGTTCTCAACCAGTGGGTTGCTACCCCTTTGGAGGTTGACCGACCCTTACGCAGGGGTCGCCTACGACCATCGGAAAACACATATTTATGAAGTAGCAAACGAAAATAATTGTATGGTTGGGGCTCACCACAACATGATGAACTGTGTTAAAAGTTCGCGGCATTAGGAAGGTTGAGAACCTCTGATATCGGGAGTTGATTATGGCATTATTGTTTTGGGAGAACTTTTGAGTCAGTAGGGAAAAAAAAATGTTTTATTATAGAGAAGACACCAAAGTCTAATTCCGAAGTACTTAAAGGAAATCTCCCAGGACGGAGAAAGCTAACTTTGTGCAATGAAATGTACAGGCAATACATTAGAAAGTAAGCTAAACATAAATATGGATTCCAATCGAGTACATCAACACAATGTACGATCACAAAGCCAGTTACACTTTCCGAAATGCGAGAATTTGTAATGTAACGAACGATGTGAATTTTTTATAATAATCTCCTCTCATGAGAAATTCAATGAACTTTTCAATAAGAAGTTAGAAAAGATCATAGCGTGATGTAACTGAATCTGAAGACCACATCACGCTACCAACACAATACGACACTCGGGAAGTGCTAGCTCTTGAACACTAACGTAACAACGTAGGCACAACACGCTTTTAGATTGGTGTGAGGGTCCAGACGGGTCTTTTTCTATTGTGGAGTCTGACGGAAATACTGCAGCGGTATTATTTCCAAATTTACTGAATCCCATTCATTTATGACCAACTTATTGTTGTTAAATCGCTTTACCCAAGGTGAGAGATTCCAGCAACTGCTCACATTACGTGCTGTGTGTAGCTGGTCACGCCTTGGGGATGCCACCCTGTCCTGATGGTCAAGTGTGGTCAGCAGAGGTCATCAAATGTGTTGAGCAGACATCAAGCTGGAACGACTGTCCGAACGAGAGAAGGGATCAAATCAAACTTGGGCCTCACGGCGTGGCTTTTGGCCAGGGGCGTCTCACCGGTGTTCCACTAGAAGCTGGTGTTCCCTCAGGAGCTGGTGTTCCCTTAGAAGCTGGTGTTCCCTTAGAAGCTGGTGTTCCCTTAGAAGCTGGTGTTCCTTTTGAAATGGGTGTTCCATTAGAAGCTGGTGCTCCGTTAGACAGTGGTATTTTGTTAGACAGTGATGTCACCTTAGAAAGCGTTGTTCCATTGGAAAGTGATGTTTCGATCGACAGTGGTGGTCAGTTAGAAAGAGGAGTTTCTTTAAAAGGACCTGGACCTAGCCAAAAGGTTTCGTTAACGGCACTGACATCAACAATCAACTCGCAGGGAGCGCCCACTACCAATGTGGCACAGTCTGAACAGCAAGGGAAGTCCAGAGTAAAACAAGGACAATCTCTGAAAATGAACCATAAACCTATCACAAAACAAGGGCAAGCAACTGCAAGAAAAAGCAAAACTCCACAAAGAGCACCAACACGCAGGAAGTCGTTATCTTCCGCTAACAGGAAAAAGCAACATGGCACTGTACAAAGTACTTCAGTGCCTGCCTTTAGCGACACGATACAAAGTACTTCAGTGCCTGCCTTTAGCGACACGGTACAAAGTACTTCAGTGCCTGCCTTTAGCGACACGGTACAAAGTACTTCTGTGCATGCTTTTAGCGCCACGGTACAAAGTATTTCTGTGCATGCCTTTAATTTAGAGACGGATTACTCAAAGAATGGCAAGGGTACTCGTACAAATCATACTGGCACAAGGGAAGCTACACTTAAAATAAATGATTCCTCGCGAAAAGATTCCGGCTTATTCCCCTTATTTCGTAGTGTAAGTCATCAAGACAACCATTTATTAACTCCCATGAAGAATGTGACAAGTGTCAAGGTCCCAGTGGTCCTGTCTAGTGGTGTGAGGGGACAAGACACACATGTCTTAGATAATAGATTGAACCTTGAATGGTCACGGCCTAATGGGGCTAGATTATCAGACAGTACCAACAATGCCCCCAGGATAGAAAGTACCAACAATGCTCCCGGGACAGAGAGTACGAACAATGCACTCGTGATAGAAAGTACAAACAATGCACTCGGGATAGAGAGTACAAACAATGCACTCGGGACAGAAAGTATAAAAAATGCACTCGAGATAGAGAGTACCAACAATGCACTCGGGATAGGGAGTACCAACAATGCACTCGGGATAGGGAGTACCGTCAATGTACTCGCTACCGACAGTAACAACAATACATTTAGGTTAGTGAAAAGTCCCATTTTAAGAGGGCGCATTCTACTTTCGAGAAAAGCCAATTCCAGTATAAGCATAAACGATCCCAGTTTAGGAACAGCTGATCCGATTCTTCGTCAGAAAAGTCGTCTTTTGAAGTTAGATGAAACCAGTATTAGACAAAATGGTCCAAATTTGAGAAATACAGATATTAATCGAAAACAAAAAGAAACAAATTTTTATTCTGAAGATTATAGTTTTGACCCTAGGGATACTAGCATTTATCAAGTAGACCATGGGTTTCAAAAGATAGAGCCCAGTTTTGAACAAGAAGACGCAAGTTTTCAAAAAATAGTGCCTAGTTTTGGAGAAGAAGACCCTATTCAACAAACACGTCTTAGTTTAGTGGGAAAAGACGGTAGCCTTCAACAAACAGACTTCAGTTCTGTCAACAAAAATACAAACATTAGTCAAAGAGATCCCATTATGAGACGACCAGATATTGATGCAAAACAAAATAATTCAAATTTTAGAAAGCCACGTCCCAGTTCGAGGCAGCCATCTTTGAATCCCTTGGATGGGGATCACCGTTCAAGACGTAAAGAGGTCAATCAAAGACAAGAATTTGAAGAGTGGAGACGCGTGGTGCCAGACTTAAGGAATGGCGCTGACAATTCAAGACAAACAGATCTGTCCGAAGAACACATGGAATCGAGACAAGAAATTATTCACGGCAACAACAGTTTTGAAATTCAAAATCTGAGTGAGCAAAAAACAGATTCCAGTGCCAGGATATCTGATCAAAATAAAGAAGCAGAGGTTCTTAGTTTAGAACTTGAGGGTCACCATATAAGACAACCTGATACTGGAGATAGGAACGAAAATTCAAGCTATGGGCTGTTGGTGGACAGTCTGGCACAAGCACGGTATGCAGGTATGGAACCAGACCAGAAGGAAGGACGGGTCACGTTTAAGAAGGGAGCACAGGACGGGTTTGAATTGAATCACGTGGATTCTGATTTGGGAATAGATCGTCTGAGACTGAAGCTAGTGCAAAATGGCAGACGTGAATCGACGTCAAGTTTGATCAACTCAGCTCCGGAGTTCAGGGAGATGGGGGCGTCTGATGTGATGAAGCAAAGCCCCTCAGTGCGCAAAAAGGGGCGTGACGCGGTTCATGACATCGGACTCGAGAGTTTGTCCGAATCGGAGTCGCATAAAATTAAGGGAGAAAACCGTGTCTCCATCAATGATTTGCCAGAATTTAAGGACCTTCAAGTTTTAATGACGGAAGAGACGACAGCTAGAAATAAAACAAATGAATCTGACACCGTGCCAAGTCTAAGATCGGCATCACCACCAAGCATGACAGCTGCGCTTATTGAAGGTAAGGCCACGTATTATCTTAAAATCATGGCTTTTTTAAAAATAAAATGTTTCATTATTTATTAGCTTGTCTCGCATTTGTGGCTTACAATGTCGACAAAGCTACTGAATGAGCGTTGCCAACTTTTGCTATAAAATATTATTAGTTTATACAATTGCACATAACGTCTTTGGTTATAATTGGCTTCAAATTTAAATGGATTCTGCTCAAACAACGACCAAAGATTGTTAGCAATTTTATTTTAATATCATACTTGGAGACAGGCGCTCTAGTTGAAGTGATTTCATTTTCCTAAATGGTTAAAGTACATGCTTGAAATTGATGGGGAAAACTCCTGTTTAATATTAATGGGAAAACTAGAAGTTTATATCTTGGAATAACTAGATATTTCATGTCAACGGAATAAACTAGATGTTTCATACTAACTGGAAAAAAAGATATATATATGAATAATATTTTCTACTCCTCGTCGTGTGTTTCCACACAACAGAGTTCTTCCCAAGCCATCCCTGTACGTTCGTTGAAATCCCGTCCTTCTTGCCCCACCCCCGAGCGTGTCACTGGTTCTACAATTGCTCATTCTCGCCCGCGGACCCCAAGTGGCACACCGTTGAGCCCATGACGTCAGAGTGTCCCTATCCATTGCTGTTCTCCCTGGTCACGCGGACCTGTATGCCGTACAGAGAAGTAGACTGTGGCACGCGTGTCGAGTACAAGGCACCGTGTGAGTAATAAAACACATTGTCATTGTTTCTACTTCATAGGTTACTACTAAGTAATACAAACTCATTTTTGTGACCACTACGTTAGCATTACTTAATACAAAGTAATTTTGTGACCACTGTCATCATACGTTAGCATTACTTAATACAAAGTAATTTTGTGACCACTGTCATCATACGTTAGCATTACTTAATACAAAGTAATTTTGTGAGCACTGTCATCATTGGTTAGTACTACTTAATACAAACTCATTTTGTGGGCGTATACTATTAGAGCAACATACGTCAAGATCTTAGCTCTTCATTAATAGGTGATACCCTATCACAAAGAAAGACTGCAGAAGTGTAAATGAACACCAAGGTTTCGAATGAAATATAAACGAAATTTAAATTTTTTATGTTTATTATTTTTGAAAATATTCTTTTAAATCTTTTAAATATATATATTTCATATATATATATTGTTTTATTTTCTACTATTGAGTATTAAAATGTAATCATTATAATATTGACAAAAGTAGAATTATTTACTTCTACCTTCATCGAATGCGTACAAAATCCCGGTTGAAGGGACTTAACCCGTTACCTGGACAAAAAACGTTAAAAAAGTAGATCTAAGATTCCCCCCCCCCCCCTTTTCCCACCAGTTCACTCAATCATGAAGCTGGCGCGAGCAACCACGAGAATTCGAGTGACAGTGTCAACAGGCCTCCGATGACCCAGTAGTAGACGCAATGTTGACACAGCTCAGTTTCAAAGAGACGATCAACAAGTTGGAAATTATCATTTGAGAAAAAAATGTCACATGTGTAAAAAAAAAAATAATAAAAAGCTGTTGGATTTCACACATTCAAACACAAGATGGAAATGCAAGGAGAATGAAAATCTTTTATAAAAATAGCAGAAAGGTTTCGGGGATTACCGCAACCACTACAGCACTGATTATCTATAATAATGATACCCTATTGGATTTTTTTTTGTCCGCACCGTGCTGCGCTATCTTTTGCTGCTCCCGCCGTCGTGCGCTTGATCATGTACGCGCCAAATGCAGACAAACGTGCAAATTTGTTTTCCACCGTGCTGTGTGCCGTGCTTTGTGTCGACTTGAGGTTGCTCTACTAAGCATTGGTGGACATATGGAGCGTGATCTGGAATTATTAATCTCGATTATTCACCTCTACCCGTAGTTTACACACTCGACGTAGTTGCGTTGCCGCAGTTAATAACGGGATATTTAGCAATTAGTTAAATCGTGTAGTTTAACGTGGAATGTAACGAAGAGACAAACATTACACCTTACAGCATACAACTGTATAAAATGTTATAAAAGTCAACTGCTAAAATTGATATTGTATTTAATCAGGTGCTACTGTTGATAGTTTAATTTCTCAGGTGCTACTGTTGATACTGTATTTAATCAGGTACTACTGTTGATACTGTATTTAATCAGGTGCTACTATTGATAGTATATTTATCAGTTGCTACTGTTGGAATTATATTTTATTGATAGCATACTCTATCAGGTGGTACTATTAATGTTCTATTTAATCAGGTGATTACAGAGAGAACACATGCACATTACCTACCTGCCCCCGATGTGAATCTCAGCTGACCAGCTGTGAAGGTGTAGAGGACGGCCTTCACCCCTACCCCGGTAGAGAGTGGACACCCTGGTTTGTCTCATGTCAGGACGAGAGGACACTACAGCAGGGCAAGTGCCCTGAAGAGACACCCATTTTCTCCGTGTTGACCAGGCAGTGCGTGACGTCACGAGAAGTACCGAAACCTTACGGGGGGTCGCTGGACTCGTGTCAAGGTCGACCTGACGGCCATCATCCCGACGAGTCTGGAATCTGCCATAGATATTTTATTTGCAAGGATGAACAGTTCATAAGTTCTTCATCGTGTGGAGGTACTTTAATGTTGTTGTTTAAAAACAAAAGAAAATGGGATGACCTTAGTTTTGTAACATTCAAAAATAATATCAAACATAACGTATCATCTTCAGTACTTTGACCTTGTTTGTTAAGGCCCCAATCTATAATAAATGGATGCATCCACAGGTTACTCAAACCCCTTTATTAAAAAAAAAATGTTTATGTTATTATTACGCCACTTAGATGGACTAGTGAGTAGACAGATGTTAGATTGACATAATTATTTCAGCTTAACTGTTGCATGAAATAGGTGTACCGTCATTATTATATTTCAAAAAAATAATTCAAATACTTTAATTTCATATATGAATAACAAACTTTCTAAAATAATTTTTTTGTGTAAGCATAAAATATTAAAATATATAAGGAAAATATATATTTATATTCAAACAAATTATTGCTTTAAACCCTGTGCTGCATACAGCAATGTAAAGTTTTTTGTTTGTTTTTTTTTTTTTTAAATGTTGACCTTAAAGTAACTTACCGCTTGTAATAGTGAAGCGAGTGTTGTGCTAACAAACTTATCTCATTCAACAGAGGGGTTGACCTTTGACCCCGACACGTGGAGCTGTAATGGGTCGGCCATCGTCCCACCGTGTGGCCCCATCACCTCCACCAACGTCTCGGACAGGTTCTGCGCTGGCCAGCACGACGGTTTCTACGCCGACCTGTACGGCCGGTGCTCACTGTACTACGAATGCAAGCAGAGGCGGCTCAGGTCCTTCCTGAAGTGCCCCTACGGCTCTTTCAACCCTAGAACCCACGCCTGCGACCCAGGTTTGGACATGTACGCCCCGTGCGGCCTGCGCCCTAATCCATGCATGGCCAAGTAAGTCCTGTCGCAGCTTGGGGATTACGTCAGACGTGTCAAATTGGAATCATTATCAGCAACGACGACTTGGTGTTCTCCGTCCTGACTTAAACGTCTTTACGACTAATGCTTTCTGGGAAATAAAAATCTCTAGACCTTAATATCGATTTGTAATTGCAATAGAAATCAATTGAATATATTTTTCTTCCATGTCTTAATGTGTTTTGTTTTTTTAATTATATTAATTAAATGTGTTCTATTAACAATTTAAAAAGTTAAATTTATGTATAAATGCAAATACATTGTCTGATAGAAATAGAGATTATTCATGTTATGAAGACTGATTAAATTTGACTCAGTTCTTTTTGGGTTCCCATCAAACGAACCCATCAAAAAAAATTGAAACGATGTTCAGCTAACAGACTGCGTTTCAGAAACACGAAGAGCGGCTACGAGAAATGCGTGACACTACGGCTCAACCGGGTGCAGTTTTTTTTTTTTTTTACACCGGGTCCGGGTATTTTTAGAAATAGGCTTACAAACATATACCCTATGCCCTACCAGCCAGCTTTTAAACAGTAGGCCTATCGACAGTCCTACAACCTACCCGTCAGCCTTTAAACAATAACCCTACAGACAGTCCTACGGACAAATTACAGACAGTCCTACAACGTGGCTCTTTATTGATTCATATAATATAATATATATATATATAATATATGAATAGAATATATGAATTATATTATAATAGTCGCCCCCACCTAAAGATTCACATGTCACGCATGACAGCCTTTTCCCAATCAGTATTATTAATACCAAACATGTGAAGTTGGGAGGGGGGGGGAGGGTGGTTTCGGAAAGAAAGCAGGACACACCAGAAGCAAAATATATACAAGAGCTCATGTAGTCATTCGTGTTAGTTCACTACAGACAAATGCTCTTTAGAATATCAAATACTTCCACACTTTTCTCCGTAGGTCAGATGGTCTGCACACAGATCTCAACTCAAACTGCGTTGCTGTCATCACGTGTCGTAATGGCTACGTCTCCAGGATAGAACCATGTCCTGATGGACGTGTGTTCGACAGCGCTACCAAGAAGTGTCAACTGCCCGACTTAGCGGCGTCCCCTTGTGGATTAGCGCCGACTTGCCTGGGAAAAGTACGCCATCTTTATTTTTACTGATATATTATTACTGATAGAAAGCGAGTCAATTGTATTTCTTTATGATAATTTTATTTCACGTGTAAAGATTTTGAGAGGCATTTATATTGTCCTTATATCCGTGGTATGTTATCTAGTAAACACTGACGACAGTGAATGCTGCTTTCGACTTGAGGGTCACCAACAAGACTCGGAGCTCATTTTTGCTCTGTCATTCAAAATATGCAGATATTACATTTAAACACACTTAACTAATCAGTAGTATTACTGACTAAGCAGTTGTTGAAAACATTGAATTCATCTATCCAACTACTTACTTCAGGCAGAAGGCAAACATGGAGCCCAGGCTAAAGGCTGCCAACATTACTACACCTGTGCCGATGGCGTTATCACTGGATACGGTCAGTGTGACCTGGCTGAGGGAGGGTTTTTCTTTAATCCAGACACTAGAAGCTGTGACTTCCCTCAGAACATCTGCCCTCCTTGTGGCACAAGTTTATCTCAGAACTGGTTAGTCTCAGCTATCCAATCGAAATTACAGTTTGACACCACCAATGTCCATAGTGTATCATATACATATATATATATATATATATACATATATAAGAGAGAGAGTGTGTGTGTATGTGTGTGTGTGTGTGTGTGTGAGAGAGAGAGAGAGAGAGAGAGAGAGAGAGAGAGAGAGAGACAGAGAGAGAGAGAGAGAGAGAGAGGACACTTTATTTTACTTTGACAGCTCATTCATTTGTATTTGAGATTTGGATTCATTTGTATTTTTAGATTTCCAATTGCATACTCCAAAAAATTAAACTATATCATTGTTTTAAAAAAGCCCAACTAAACTTTATTGATATTCTATTTATATTTCAGTACCAAAGTTTGACAAACTTCAAGTGACAACTCAGGGGGTCAAGAATGGACGAGGATATGTCATTGTTAAATCAAAGTATTTAGTTGTTAGCTTCATCGTATGACATCTGAATACACAAAAAAAAAATAAACTATTCCACTCCGACTAAAGAATCGCTTGCCATAAAATCTGTTGACGATGAACATTTTGGGTGTTAAAATAAATCTAATGGTTTAAAAACAATGACTGTGTTGTCATTCTTTCACTCTCGGAGTGGATGCAAACAAGAACAAATGAAGCTGAGATCATCTTCTCCCAATATTGTATGCTTGCCTTCGTTGCATTAAGTTCTCATTTGGTGGGTCTTAATTTTAACCTACCTAACGCTCATTCATTAAGTCTGCAGTTGTTGTTGTTGTTGTTTTTTTTTTTTTTTTTTTTTTTTTTTTTTTTTTTTTTTTTTTTTTTTTTTTTTGGGGGGGGGGGGGGAGCTGCTTGTCACAGTTGCACACACGTATCTTCAGATCTGAACACGGTGCTACAATTTGCGTCTTGTTTAATCCACAGATAAATACAATACTTAGCTATTCGTTGATTCATTGAGATGTATATTAATTTGACCCTATTATACATAATTAGAGTGTCTTCATTTCTCATATTAACGCTATATTCACCGAGCTCTGTTTCATTTCCCGGTGCCCTATGTGTATTATTATTTGATAATGTGACCAAATCAATGATTGATTTAAACAACGGTTTATCTCTACTTAAGGGGGTGTTGGGGGAGGGGGGCTTAGCGTGTGGGTGTAAAAAATCAATACCCTTAAAGGCATCAGAGGTGTGTCGCTAACACCTGTCAAATGTGTTGTTTTGGGGTGATGGGTGAGATGGGGTGATGGGATAGGATTGGGTGAAATGGGGTGGTGGGATAGGATGAGATGAGATGGGGTGGTGGGATAGGATGGGGTGAGATGGGTGTGGGATAGAATGGGGTGATGGGATAGGATGGGGTGAGATGGGGTGGTGGGATAGGATGGGATGAGAGGGGGTGGTGGGATAGGATGGGGTGAGATGGGATGAGATGGGGGGTGGGATAGGATGGGGTGAGATAGGGGGTGGGATAGCATAATGAGATGGGGTGTGGGATAGGATGGGGTGAGATAGGGTGTGGGATAGAATGGGGTGTGGGATAGGATGGGGTGAGATGGGGTGTGGGATAGAATGGGGGGTGGGATAGGATGGGGTGAGATTGGGTGATGGGGTGAGATGGGGTGTGGGATAGGATGGGGTGAGATGGGGTGATGGAGTGAGATGGGGTGATGGGCTGAGATGGGGTGATGGGATAGGATGGGGTACCCAAGCAGAGCAACGTTGGTTTCCTAACATATATTATAGTTTTCTTAAAGTTACACTTTAGACATGTGCAGAGGTCCTAAACTAACTATCTATGGAGTGCACCATAGAGCATGTGCTTTAGTCGAGAATGCACCATAGTATATCATGCTTCTTCTTAGTAGACAATCCTCAATAGACACTAGCATGGCCTGTACCGTATAGAGTCCGTCATGATGTACTGTGTGCCTTACAACACATCTAGGATGATATGAGAGAGAACACTGTTATCAAAAACATGTTCCTGGGAATTCTATTTTCCTTTACAACAACTAAACCCCTCTGCGTCACATTGATTGACGAAACTGATCGAAGTTAGAATGTCCCAATGAAACCAATAACCCAAATCCAGTGGATTTAAAGATAATTCTCTCATATCCACCGATTTTATCCTTAACATCCGAGACTCTTTAGGGCTTGTTTGGTTTTTGGTTGTATTTTAAAAAAAAAAATCATAACGAAATCGGAGTCTCAGTAGAGGCAAATCACATGACATAGCAGTAACGTGTCATGACAGTCACAATGAGGAAAGCAGGGAGTTGTGTTTTTTTCACATTCACAATCAGTGTTCTAGCAAGTTTTACGCTCAGCGTTATTCAACGCCACAATAACGTGTTTACCATGTGCCAAGACACCAATGTTCCAAAATCATTGAGGCATTTTCTGGTGGTCAGCGACAAGTCGACCAAATCACATCGCTACAGCAGGAATCTCAACTGTCACATTTTTCTGGACACCAGACGTGACCCGGTGGTCCTGGTGCTCTATTTTAAAAGATTTGATCTGGAGTTCGAGGAGAATTGTGGTTTTGACAGTTTGACAATCGCAGGCCGCAGATTTTGTGGCAGTTGGCTTCGAGGCAAAACGTTGAAAATTCTGATAGAGCCTTACAGGGTGGCAGAGTTTTCTTTCTTGACAGACTTCATCGTGTCAAGACGAGGCTTTGCCGTCGAAGTCGGCGTGGTGCCCTACTTTCCCGGAGAGACGGTCGTGGAGTACGACGGACCGGGTTCACGTTTTGTGCCCGCTTACATGTTTTCATCCTATGACTCGCGGCCTGGGGGCAGGTCAGAGGATTATCAACACCCACCCTTCCACTATGGCCAGACTCATCAACACCCACCCTTCCCCTATGGCCAGACTCATCAATACCATGAAGATCTGCTGGGATTCCTAGACACTTTCCCCAACCAAGACATTGTCAACGCTGAACATGAGTCAAACCATCGACCCAACTCAAGTGAAACCAAGAAAACATTCCAAGACGAGGATGGAACTATTTGGTTTGAGCTCTAGTCACTACAACAAAGGCATCACTTTCAAACTTAATGTTGGAACTATTTTGTTTGAGATCTAGTAACTACAGCGATGGAATCACGTTGAAACTTATTTTTGGAACTATTTGGTTTGAAATCTAGTAACTACAACAAAGGCATCACTTTCAAGCTAAATGTTGGAATTATCTTGTTTAAGATCTAGTAACTACAACGATGGTAGAAATCAAAACTTATTGTTGGGACTATTTTGTTTGAAATCTAGTAACTACAACAAAGGCATCACTTTCAAGCTAAACGTTGGAATTATCTTGTTTAAGATCTAGTAACTACAACGATGGTAGAAATCAAAACTTATTGTTGGGACTATTTTGTTTGAAATCTAGTAACTACAACAAAGGCATCACTTTCAAGCTAAATGTTGGAATTATCTTGTTTAAGATCTAGTAACTACAACGATGGTAGAAATCAAAACTTATTGTTGGGAATATTTTGTTTGAAATCTAGTAACTACAACAAAGGCATCACTTTCAAGCTAAATGTTGGAATTATCTTGTTTAAGATCTAGTAACTACAACGATGGTAGAAATCAAAACTTATTGTTGGGACTATTTTGTTTGAAATCTAGTAACTACAACAAAGGCATCACTTTCAAGCTAAATGTTGGAATTATCTTGTTTAAGATCTAGTAACTACAACGATGGTAGAAATCAAAACTTATTGTTGGGACTATTTTGTTTGAAATCTAGTAACTACAACAAAGGCATCACTTTCAAGCTAAATGTTGGAATTATCTTGTTTAAGATCTAGTAACTACAACGATGGAATCACTTTCATACTTTGGTTTGAGATCTAGTAACTACAACAATGGCACCACTTTCAAACTTTTTGTTGGAACTATTTTGTTTGAGATCTAGTAGCTACAACAACTGTATCACTTTCAAACTTATTGTTGGAACTAGAGTTTGTTTTCATTAAAATATTGACCAACAATTTCGTCACAACTTAACATGATGCTTTGGATGTCTGGCACCGAAATTGGAAATGAATTATTTTAGGTGTTGTTTAAATATATACTCAGCAGATAGACAGTAGAATTTATAAACTCTGTTTAAGCTAATGGATAATTTAACATTCGTGGCAGATGTGAGCTATGCAGTAATTAAAATGAGTTAAAATACGGAAAAAAGTATGAAAATAGCTAAGGAGATAGAATGACACTTTTGGGGACCTCATGGTATTTCGGACTGACCACTTTTCGAAAAAACATGGACACAGTACGTGAGAGTAATGGAAATAGAAACAATTGAATGTCACACTATAAACAAAACTCATCATAGGAAGTCAGCCATCAGAGTTCAGCCATGAGAGGAGATCAGCCATCAGAGGAGATCAGCCATCAGAGGAGATCAGCCATCAGAGGAGTTCAGCCATCAGAGGAGATCAGCCATCAGGGGAGTTCAGCCATCAGAGGAGATCAGCCATCAGAGGAGATCAGCCATCAGAGGAGATCAGCCATCAGAGGAGTTCAGCCATCAGAGGAGATCAGCCATCAGATGAGTTCAGCCATCAGAGGAGATCAGCCATCAGGGGAGTTCAGCCATCAGAGGAGATCAGCCATCAGAGGAGATCAGCCATCAGAGGAGATAACCCATCAGAGGAGTTCAGCCATCAGAGGAGATCAGCCATCAGAGGAAATCGACCGTTTTTGTGTGTTTCAATTTGACTTTGACAGTGATCGATGTAGATCTTCTGTATGACTACAAACATCAGATTTCAGTCAGGAGATGTACTTTTCTTTTAATACAATGCATGATGTCTGAATGCACGGCACAATTTCTTGAATTAAATGTTTATAAACTTGTGATAAAATGTTGTTAAAAAAACTTTGTTACAATTTCTTTTATTACTAGATAAAAAAATAGATGTCTAGACATTTTAAAAAGAGATTTTTGCTTTATTTGATGAGACTGTGTGCATTATGGTACTGTTCAAAGAATATCGGTACAATGGCAATACGCAACTTATTTGTGGGGACTGGAACACATTAATCAGTTTTATGAAGCATCGTTTTAAAATAATAATAATAATAATAAAGTTTATTTCAAAAACACGCTTCATCCCCAAAGGCTCGAAGCGCGGTACAAAAGTAAAAAAAAACAATAACAACAAATCTATAATTTACTACATTTAAAACAAACGCAACACTATGAAATCTAATTACAAGCATACCAAGTCAAAGTCTTTCTACCCATTTCAACCCTAAGCAACACAGTCAATATGCATTAAATGGAAAATATGGTAGACAATCATCCCAGAAAGTGTTTGCGAAATAGATGTGTCTTTAAATCGGTTTTAAAAGACTCCAGTGTCTGATTGTTTCTGAGATCGACAGGAAGGGTGTTCCAAATTGTTGGACCAGCAAATGCCAAAGTGCGCTTTCCGTAGGTCTCAAGGCGAACACGTGGTGTCGAGAGTTTGCCACTGTCGGATGAGAAATAAAAGTTCTACAATATCGTCGACAAGTCATCCACTGCCGACAGGAAACACGGGATTTAGCAATAATCTTGTTGGCATTTTAGCGCCATAGTTGATTGCCCAGTCGACAGGTCTCGTACGCTCGTTCCTAGCCCTCATTTCAGTGACCAGCTGTTTAAGCCCTCGAATCTTGGCTCGTACTGTAGTGCGAGTAGTACAACGAGGCTCGTCCAAGGGCTTGGTGGCGCCACTTCGAATTTGGTCTAAAATTGGGTCACGTGGTTTTGCAGTAAATAGTGGACCTTCGGGTTCTTGGAATTTAAAAACTTTTAAGGATTTATTTTTACACCACTTTGGATAAACAGTGCTCCGTAATGTAGGAGCCTGTTCAGAATTGCATAAAGTGTCACGAGAATTTGAACAGGTTTCGAAGTAAACTGATTTTCCGTTGGTCAATATTCGTTGATGTACAGGTTCATCAACCGGACACGGTGAGTACGTGACCTCGGAGCGTGACCTTAAAGAGTCGTTAATCCAGGTGCATAGATCTTCACGCCTGTAACCTAGTGTGTGATACGTTTCTGGCACTTTACACGGGAAATAATTGCAATCGTGTGGCGCAGATCTGGTTTCAATGTATTTACATAAACTCTCAGTGGATTTACTCATTAGATTAGGTCTTGTGATGGAATCCATTGAAATGTCTGACGTTTTTGGCTTTCCTGTTTCGGAACGTAGGGAAGAGAATCGTGCCATCCTTGGGCTGGACTTTGTGGAACCGCTCCATGTTCCTCTCGGCACGCTGTCTCTGAATGAAGCTGACGAGCTGTCGGCAGACGCAGTGCTGATATTTTGGTCGTTCACTTCAACGTGTCCATCCGTGGCGTCGACAGCACTCACAACGGAGATACATCTGGCCACTGACAGCTTTGATGACGTGTTTCTTGACGGAGTCCGAGTTGAAAAGGATGTTGGTGTGCTTGTTGAAAAGGATGTTGGTGTATGTGATGACACAGTCGCCGGGGTGCCTGTAACGCTATTTCGGTAACTCCCGTTGGATTGTTCGTTTCTCTCAGAAGTGGCTCTGTTGCGCGGGGACATGTTAGAGGAAATGAGAGGCATCCCATTCCTACCGTTGACTCGCTCCGTTTTCCTGGCAACCTCATCCTTATCATCACAACTGGGTAGTGCCTCTAAGTCCCTCAGCTCTGATTGGATTCTGTAAAAACAAAAAAATCTAAATCTTTTCATCCTGAATATTCAATCTACGTCATTATCCATTTTTTTCAAAGCTTCATTTATTTGGACTACACACATAGATAATTTATGTTAGAATTATAAGCTTTCTTTTGCATCAACATCATTTGTTTCCGTATAACTGTTTTTAGTGTTCTAGCTCATGTCAAACATTTTGCTAGTAAACAGAAAATGGTTTAACTCAACTTGTGTACGTTCACACGCATATGAACAAACGTAAGCAAACAAAGTTAAACATAAGCAAAAATATGTCAATATATACGTAAACATAGATACACACTATCCAATAACAACATATATTATTGTACCTGATCTTGTTTCTAAGATATTGTCTGCAGTTACTTTCGTAATCTTGTTCCAAGTGTTTGAGTCGCCCCATGAGTTGCTTCTGGGCCGTGCTGTTGCGTCTGTGTGCCCACAGCTTGGTCTTTTGTATTTGTTGGATGTATTTATCCAAAGGCACTTGAATGATGGGAGTGAGAAGATAAGAAGAGGTCGTCAGTGTAACCAAGATTTAAATATAAAGTCTCTCATCAGATATTTGTAATAAAATTTACTCCTGGTGACTATAGTCAAAAGTTCAAATAGTTTAACGGTTGCTATCTTCGTTCTTATTTGCAATCATCATGTTAGTCGAGTTGAAAACTTGCAGTCTATATTTTTTTTATTTTTTTTTTACAAACTGCACAGGTGTCTCGATTATGCACAAAATCTGCTATAAAACTACACCATTATATTCTTATACAACATTCCACATAAAAATAGCCACTATATAACATCATTCAAACAACATTCTGAAGTCTTAATGACAAACTAACTACAAGAAGTCCATTAATTCATCTCTCATGCATCCTCGAGCAATCAAATCCTATGGAACACCGACGAACAACAATTACTATATTATATATCTTGTACAACATCCATTATACACAATCCCCAATTTTAGAACACTCAATAATTAGCATTTATTAAGTACATTTTTTAAACTGCCATCAATAACTTTTAACTTGCTTAAAAATAACATTAATAACTTTAACTTTGCTTAAAAATACAATCAATAACTTTTAACTTGCTTAAAAATACCATTAATAACTTTTAACTTTGCTTAAAAATACCATCAATAACTTTTAACTTGCTTAAAACTACCATCAATATCTTCTAAGCGTCATCAAACGTCATCTTTAGGTTATATATTTATGAAGAAAATTTAGTGTTATATTAGATGTAAACATTAGGAAGGTAAGACTTTACCCTAGATGTTGAACAGAATGGAAAAAAAAGAATGGACATAAATATTTGTTTGTATTATATGGTTTCTGTTGCTTCAACATTTTCTTAGGGTTTATCCGTTATCTTATTTTAGACATCGAATGCCCATCAGGCCAACGCATGAATACACACTGGTCAGGTCAGTCACTGAACTCATGTTGGCGACCTGCAACAAAATTTCTCGACAATGATAGAATCAAATCCCAACAGAACCGTTTTCTTAGGTCACTGGGAAAAATAAACCGCGGCCTATAGTGTGCGGGATCCCCGCTGTTGATTAACAAAATGTGTGAGATCCCCACTGTGGATAAACAGGGTAACAGACCCCCCGTAAGCATTGATCCCATTATCATTGATCCCGTTACAAATGATCTGATGGGCGACGGTCATTCATCCGAGTCTCCGCGTACCGATACACGTGAACGCGGCGTAGCTGAAGGTGGCTTGGTCGTAAGGAGATCCATGTTCAGACGCAACGCGCTAATCACATATTTATGCTAATCTGTATTTTATAAATAACGCGCGACATGTTAGGTCTGAATGGGACATTCGGTGATTGTCTGCCCTTGGCACTTCATACGTCGTTCCCATGAGTTTAACACGATTTTCAAGGGGAAGAAACATGACTGGAGGGTTATAGAACTTAGCGTATTTGTTGAACTAAGTCTCGATCACATAATATGTCAAGACGAAATCAAGGGCAGACATTTTTTTGCATGACTTGCTCCATTTCTTACAATTATCAAATAAACAAGATAAACCCTTGACTTTAGATAAGATGCGGTTATAGTTGCGCTCATTTCCATCGACCTAAGTTACGATCATTACAATTTAGACGTAACTTAATAAAAGATTGAAGAAAAAAAAATATTTAATAGTATATACTGATTTCGACATAGATAGATTAAAATAATTTTAGACAGAGGCAGCTTCAGAGATATATAAATGGAAATATACATACAAAATCGTTTTATAGTGAATATAAGTCTTACAGTCTTTTATAATGAACTAATTTAACATAATGGTGTAAGAGTTATAAACTTGCTGTAAAGTTAAGAAATCTGAATATCATTGCGTCTCCTATTGATAAACATTATAAATTGAACATTGCAAATCAATAATCAAATTATTTTTTTAACTATTTTGTAATCATCTGTTTGTTCCGGTAAGTTTCTCTCCCAGTCCAGTATTTCTTTATGACTTACTTTTAGTTAACACACGGTGGATGAATGAGTTCCTTGGTGATATCTGTAATGAACAATTTATGTAAGAATTCATTTAACATTCCGTCTGAATTCGTTCACATCTTTGACAATCTTGATAACAATTTTTATAACTCTATTTTAGGTACTTTCAAGTTATGATCTTTTCTAACTAATAATTGCATTAATTAATGATGCCATACAAGGATTCGTTTATTTAATTATTTACAAAATGTAATTGCAATTTTTAACAAATAATGGTTGAAATACATTTCATAAAGTTTGTTACACCTTGATCCCGATGAGTACCTAAGCTAAAGTAAGTAAGTATATTACACTGTGATTGAGGTGACTGCTCAAGATAAAATAAGACTTCGCTCCAACTAGAAGACCTTTAAATAACCCAGAGGTCCTCAGTGCAGCGCCCCCCCCCCCCCCCCCNCCCGCTGCCCCCTCTCCCCCCACTCCCCCCACCCCCCTACCCCCCACTCCCCCCCCCCCCCACCCCCCCCCCCCAGTTGTATCGACGTAGAAGTCACTTGATCCTGTATGGGATTCTACCCAGGATCTCCCGACAGATTTACAACTGAACCAATAACAACCACGCTCTGAGGAAGGAATCGCCTTTTAACTCTGCGTCGAACGTAACGAGTGCGTCAAAAAGACCTGAAGTGGTTCCTTGAGTTTGGTACACTGAGCCATAACTTATCCTCGGTTGAAATCTACGCGTCTGAGGTCAATTAAATGTTTTGAGATTCTGATCATCGGCATTAAGAATGTGTGCCAATAGATTTGAGAAATAGGAATTTTTTTATATAAAGGATTTAATCGAATATGGCGGCAATATTGATTATTTGCTAAATACCTGATAAGAATTCCGTGGGATTTTGTTTGTGTATCTGGGTAATAAGGTGTTTATCTTCAATCTTAGCTCGGTGTCATGAGCGGGTGTGTGGACGCGTTGTGAGTTTGGGGGTTGAATAGTATTCTGAGGCCTAGAAGTGGTAGGCTGAAGGTTGGAAGTCAGAAAAAAACAAAACATGCCACAATGTTGATAGGTTGGGACTACGAGGATGTCAGTGTGTGGTTTTCACTCTGAGACTGACAGTGACGCTGGTCGTGAGGTTAGCCATCATTAGGATGATGTTCAATGAATGTGGATTGCAATAAATATATAACGTTATGACCCCTAGAAAGCAATAGAGCCTTACGAGCTGACCGCGAGTAGACTCACCAACTGTGGTCGTTTGTAAAACCCGGGTCCCTTTCCGTCAGTGTCAACGTTGGTCATGACATCAGGGGCATCATGGCTGATTATATAAGGGTAGCACGGGTCATTACATCAGGGCAGCATTTATCATTAAATCAGGGCAGCATGGCTCATTACACAAGGGCCAACATGAGTCATTTCACCACGGGCACCAAGGGGCGGATAACATCAACATATACATATAACGTATATGATTTGATAGGATAGAAAGATCATATAGTATTTTCAATGTATTCACGGGCTGAACAATCTCAACGAGAAGATTTTAGAGCTATCCCATTAACAGGTAGAACAAGAGCTATGACAGAATTTTCAGTTGCACCATCTTTATAATGGGATCCTATCTTACGTAATACTTTAATTTTGTACCATTGTTATACCAGGATCCAGTCTAAATCTTTTCATTTTGTCACATCTTGAAAGGATCCCCTCTTAACTGTACCGCTTGTACCAGAGGTAATTCGTGCCAGGATGCCTTCCCGGTACTTTTGTACATACCCGGGGATTGTCCTTTCATACCAAAAATATCTCCCCTGCGCCATAATGTTTAATCACATTTTGTAACAATAACACGTACAAAAAAAATACAAAAAAAACTCATATCTGTAATCAGTAACAACCCCTTTCTGTAGTCTGTACCGCAACAGCCTAACCAGCTGAGAATCACTGTGCCATCTGATTAAAAGGTTTAGATTTATCTTCAGTTGATTTAGTTTAGGCGACACTAACACCTGGATTATTGAGGAGATTATTGATTAAAAATCTCCTCACTAAACTAAACAATGGCTTGATTTTTAACGTGGCCTCCCGCAATGCATCTGACCGTTCAATGGCTCACGGTTCACCTCCATGCAACACCCTTTGGCTTACAATAAGCTGTGTTTGTACCTGCGGCATTGTCATTGAAAATAAATGGGTTGAGGTTAAGCTAAATCGAATTATCGATCTCTTCCCAACACTCCATGGTTTAATTTTTGTTATTGTTTTTGTTTAAATTTTCTAATGTTATGACAATATTTTGGTGTCACTATAGGATATTCTGTTTTCTTTGAGAGTGTATTGAAACAACAAATCATATGACACATTTGAAGTATGAAGAACATCATATTCTGAGGGCGTCTCAGATGTAAGGACGAAAACAATGATAGAGACAGTTTCACACTACAGAGGATATTAACTTCTGTAGACTTAAGATGATGTATAGAAACATAAGATGTAAATTACTGTAAACATAGTTAGGGCTTCACAACCAGGGTGCTCACATGGTCACATGACCAGTACCAGGGGTGCTCACATGGTCACATGACCAGGACCAAGTTTGCTCACATGATCCCATGACCAGTACCAGGGATGCTCACATGGTCACATGACCAGGACCAGGACCAAGTTTGCTCACATGATCCCATGACCAGTACCAGGGATGCTCACATGGTCACATGACCAGGACCAGGACCAAGTTTGCTCACATGATCCCATGACCAGTACCAGGGGTGCTCACATGATCACATGACAACGACCAGAGGTGCTCACATGATCACATCACAAGGAACAGGGGCGCTCACATGATCAGGACCAGGACCAGGGGTGCTTTCATGATTACATGACTACGACCAAGGATGCTCACATGATAACATGACCAGGGACCAAGGGTGGACAGATGACCATTAAGGGAAAGGGCCAGGGACATTTAAGTCATCATATAATGTTTAAATTTTTCATTAAAATTTTACTTTAATTTTTTTTCTTCTAAATTGTAGAGTTCTACAATATAACCCCCCCCCCCTTTTCCACACACACACACAATTTTATAATCCATTAATTATTTTTTAAGGGTTTTCAAGACTTTGTTGGTAAGAGGTGAAAGACTTTGGTAAGGGGTGCAAGACATTGGTAGGAGGTGCAAGACTTAGTAAAAGAATTCATATATCGTACAACATATGGAAATGGTTGAGTAACCCTCCATTATATACGAGGGGAACTCAGCATGCTAATATTATTATAAGAGATGATTCACTTCTAGTAGTTATCTCTGAAGTACCTTCCACACTTTCTAAGCACGAACATTTGCCCCAAGGAATCTTGGTAGTTGCTTTATATTAAGTCAATAATCGTGTTTTTATCAATAGAAGCACTTGGTTCTTCAAACCACGGCTGTGACGTATAGAATGGTATTGACTCTTAGAATAGTACGGACTACGGACCAGTAAAGCAAACACCGAGCTGAGTTGTGAAGCAAGATATACTACAAATCATATTTGAGTAGCAACGTAGTTTTGGCTTGAAATCGCTTACATTCCTCAAGGATTTAAGTGCTGCATTTAGGGGTTAGGGTGGGAGTGGTAACGCACACATATTTTAAGACGTGATAAATGTGGGGTTTTTTACGAAAAACTTGACGATGATTAAAGAGCAATGATTATGAGCACGCATTAATAATGATTGCATTTCTCTAACTATGCAACTATAACATTTTTTTTGTTGGTAACTTTAAATTTCGTTTTTAATTCAAATGGTAAAGCCAAAGTATTCATTAGGTTTCAATCCAGTGGAATTCAGATAATCTCAAACTGTATTAAAAATACAATTAAAAATCTCGAGATTTCCCCATCATCACTTTTCAACGTGTGCACAACTTGTGAGCAAACGAGTTTTAAAATACCTACATCGTTTGGTTTCGTCACAACGTCTATAGTTAACATTTTGGTTCGGCTTCGGTTTCGACAGAAAGTCATTCTTAAAGTTCAATTGTGTAGAGAAGGGCATTTATGAGTGAGGGCCATTGTGGAGAGAGGGACATTTTGGAGAGAGGGACATTTTGTAGAGAGGGACATTTTGGAGAGAGGGACTTCGAGATTGGGACATGTTGGAGAGAGGGACATTGTGGAGAGAGGGAGATTGTGGAGGGAGGGATATTATAGAGGGAAGGACATTGCAGAGAGAGCGGCATTTTGGAGAGAGGAACATTATGGAGAAAAAGGACATTGTGGAGAGAGGGACATTATGGAGAAAAAGGACATTGTGGAGAGAGGGACATTATGGAGAAAAAGACATTGTGGAGAGAGTGACATTGTGGAGAAAAGGACATTGTGGAGAGAGGGACATTGTGGAAAGAGGGACATTGTGGAGAAAAGTACATTGTGGAGAGAGGAACTTTGTGGAGAGAGGGACAATGCAAAGAATGGGAAATTGTTGAGAGTGGGACATTGTGGAGAGAGGGACATTGGGGAGAGAGGGACATTGTAGAGAGAGGGACATTGTGGAGATAGAGGCATTGTGGAGAGAGGGACATTGTGAAGATAGACGCATTGTGGAGAGAGGGATATTGTGGAGAGAGGGTCATTGAGTAGAGGCACATTTTCTCCACCTGAGAGTCGATTTTTGAATATAAACAACTTGGAAAAAACTGTTTTGAAAAGAGCTGGATTGTCGATTGAAAGACATGCACTACATACATACAACACATACAACACATACTGTCGACATACCAGCCTGATGACCTACAGCATATCTTACCAAGTAAAATATATTTATATACAGTTTTTCCTCCAAAATTCTATGCTTCCCTCGTTCTTTCTATTCTTTGTTGATGGAAATATTTAATATATTGAACACAGATATTTCAGGTTTGGTGTATTGAAGATCATCCAAACATTATCATGAAGATCATCCAAACATTATCATGAAGATCATCCAAACATTATCATGAAGATCATCCAAACATTATCATGAAGATCATCCAAACATTATCATGAAGATCATCCAAACATTATCATGAAGATCATCCAAACATTATCATGAAGATCATCCAAACATTATCATGAAGATCATCCAAACATTATCATGAAGATCATCCAAACATTATCATGAAGATCATCCAAAGATTATCATGAAGATCATCCAAACATTATCATGAAGATCATCCAAACATTATCATGAAGATCATCCAAACATTATCATGAAGATCATCCAAACATTGTTTCCGGCAAGTTCAAGGGTAATTTGAAACGTATCCGGAAATTTGTTTGAAAGAAATTTC